TGAGCTGATCTGTAGATTGATTCGGAGGGATATATGACGATGATTGAACAGAAAGTGATGGCGTCGCTGTATATGCACTGAAGCCAAAGTCCACTGAGCTCGACTGAGCCGACGAAACGAAGTCACTGATAATGCTACTTGACGACAATGAGGAGTTGCTTTGGCTCTGTACCTGAGATGACGGGTTTCTCGAAAACATTGCCAGTATTAGCGGCTCGGTAAATCCGGGAATTAAAAACGATGACGCGTCGAACAACGAACGCACACTTCCCGCGCCGCTTTGCGTGTTAGGTGTCGCGGTTGTAACGAAAGAAATTGCCAGTGTAATAGGCTCGGTTGAACCAACAATAGGAAAGCCAGAAGAATGAAGTACGTTAAGAATGCTGGTCTTGTTGCGTAACGAATGGGATGTAACGGTGCTGGTGATATTAACTGAAAAGAGGAAGTTATACTTGGTGTGTTAATCCTTCAAGTTTATGTTAGATGTTAACTACATTAGTCTACGTTGTTGAGTGGATTAGTCTGAATAATTCATGAAAAAAATGCCTTTATAATTCATCGCTAAAGTATGAAGTTATTAATCATACAGGAGAAGCAATAAGATGATGATAAATTGCTTGTGCATACGAACAAAAAACACAATTGATCATTGGCGTTACCTTGTTAACACGCTTTTCAAATTAAATTGCATAAATATACTAGTCGTGCAAATAATGCTGGTGGAAGATGATGGAATGATTACGTGTGAGTACGATGGTTGGTTCTCGAAAGGAGAAAACAATAGACGATTCAGTGATACAGAAACAATTGCCATTACGCCGTGAAAGGTAAACAGAGCAGCAAAGTACTTTAACAACATTTGTATAACAACTGAGGTAGTACGAATGCCCTTATTGGTCAAAAAGCTATCTATTATTGCACCGCTAAACCCATATTCATTTAAAAAAAAGCAATAGAGCGCAATCTCTATCGGTTCGCTGGCGAAATGGCCAAGTTGGGATGTTGGAAAACACTGAAAAAGGTTTTAAATCATTGGCTCCGGCTCGTAATTTACAAATTTTTCTCGTGTTCCCCCAACATCACGTACGTTTAATCACACTGGTAAACCGATAGAAAGTTCGGTCGATTGCATGAATGTCCTTCATAGAAAAAAGAAAATAAATCAATAGGAGGTGAATAGAAATACACAAAATTTTACGGCACTTGCGATCACTTCATTTTCGTATCGTCCCTTACATGTTTATGTCTGCTCAACTCTTCAGTGAGAAAAGTAAGAAACGTGGTCATTCCAAATTGTCGACTCCTTGGCACAAAACCAAAGACTTTTTACCATGCAGTGTTGAGAAGTAAATACAAAACCCTGCCTCATGCTCTCTTGTCATGCAATTTACGCTCCATTGTCAATTCTTCAGTATTAAAATGACCACAGAATGGGGCTCTTGGCAACCGTCTGTTTTCCTGTATTCTCAACTGTTCGCTGCACGACTTTCGAAAATATTCTTTAATCAAATTATGTGAGTTCGCCTTTGTGTTGTCTTGTACAGCAAACTATTCTATTCTGTTATGATGAAGGAAGTTATCATGCCACGAGACTCTATTCGACTCTCCTGATAAGGTGCGTGACAAGCCTGTTCACGAATACCCTTGGGAATTTAAAAACATATCGGCTAAGTCCGTCATGAAGATTAAATTTTACTTGGCTCTCAATCTCCGCTATAAAATACTTAGAACGCAACACTGGGTCACTGCAAAGTCTACTCAGCTCATTATCATTTAACAAAGATGTTTGCCTATTTGTTTTGTAGTTTACTTTTGATGTCCAATCATTGAATGAATATCAATGTTGCTGGTTAATAAGTAACAGTTAAATAAAATATTTTCCGTTGGCTCGGTACAACATCTGAAAGTCAAGCGGTCAGAGTAGACGGCTGGAAATAAAACGTATTGTTAATCGCTAAAGTGCGAATTGTTTAAAACAACTCAATCGTGCGATGACAATTTGATTCCCTCGAGCTGACAGATAAACCTAGAACTTAATACTGAAATCTAAAATTCGGTTTGATTGTAATTCATCATTTCAGTGCGCGATATTTCAATCAAAGAAACGTTCACTACAATTCAAATTATTGTTTCCCGCATATCGTCAGTATTTCCATTAAAGGTCCAGATGTCGATATTATATGGTTTTGTTGTGATTACCCACCGGAGGCTCAACTATAGTTTGGTAAATTAAAACAATAATATCACGTCGGGGTGATATGAGAAGCCAGTTTGATTATCAACTAATCTTTCTCAAATCTCTAAATACACGATCGATGACAACTCAAAGAAATATCGTCTCTTGTGGAACAAAAAATCTCAATTTGTTTCCAGTTAGCGGAAAATATATTCTGTTGACGTAAATAAAACTGCACTTACTACTTCTTCAGATAAAGACCCCATAGTTAGATATTATGAAAATTATTGACCGCCAGTCGACTTATTTCTAGAAACAACTATTAAACGGTTAAAACGCCATATGTGTAAGATTTACTGTAAATAAAGAGATATGATTCGGACATTTTAGAATTAGTAACTGTTGATGAAAATCGTATAATAAAATCTTGACAACAGCGGTTTACAAAATAACCACGACTTACCATTGTCGGAGGATGAATTTACCAACGCAGGATAGACAGAAGAAGCGGGCACTGAAACACTAGTTGACCCTGTAGAGTTTGATCTAGCTGCACTAATAATCGACGAGTCATTGTTCTGAGCAGTAACGAAGCCACAACATAAAACCCACAAGGTAAATAATATTCGAAGCGGCGGAATGGCCGCGTTTGAGTTCTGAAAACGCAGGATTGTTCTGTAACTGTCAGCTGCAGTACCAAATGTTCTTGTCTTCTTATTCTTCATGTATTCCGTTGGCTGCGATGTGAGCCACAATTTCTATCTAAGTCGAAGTAGCGTTTCATCAGGAAACGTTTTTGATCAAGGAACAAATCTGGAAAGAATCGTACTCTTTAAACACATTAAACATGGCATCACGCTTCGTGAGTTGCATTTCGAGCCCATAGAAACGGTCCTCATAGCAACCTTGTCCTTAATTTGATCTCTGATGTTAATCAATATTTGATTAGCATAATTTATTCCTCTGAGACCAACACCATTGAGGCCATTGAGACGCTGGTAAACGGGTTTTTATCTAAAATCTAATTCGCTAATGAGATTATTATTATAGTCCAAACAAGCGGGGGATTTAAGAAAACGCTACACAATTCAAGAAATTAGGACATGACTAGAGGAAATTATTATATCTTGTAACCTGACAATATCGAGAGCTGCTTTAATTTCCACTTTAGAGTGGCTTTTAGAGTGTGAGTACAAATTAAATTTCAGTCACCAAGCAACGCAAGTTTTAAACACTTCCATTGTCTTCTTTATGTGACAAAATAAGCCGCCACAGACATACGAATGCGAACATTGCTTAACGATTGACGATGAAAACACTATTTTGTTCGCAGAAATCCAATAATATTTCAGATCCAGTATTTCTAGTCATGTCTGCTCCGTCGAGGAGTTCATTGAATGGAATTGTTACTGTCATCATCTAATCATAGCAATGTAAACAGCGTGATTTTAAGGTCGATAAAAGTGTATAGTGGTCAAGTTTATCGTGAAAAGACGTGATCAGAAAAGGTAATATGTTTCAATAAAGTTTAGATAAGACGACCCCATTGTAAAGGCTACAATGTAATCATGCGATAATCCAATACTGCATGATCTCAGTCCTCTCTGTAAAGAGATCAGTGTTTGATTATTGCATGACTATTTTTTAGCGCCATCAAAATGAAATAAATTTGTGCAGAACTTTTAAGAAACACCTTTGTCACGGTCAGCTGTACTTCTTAAATAAGGGAGACAGCGCCGTACGAATGAACCTTGAAATTTTCCGTTGCAAGAAGGAGTAAGAGGTGACAATTGGGTGATAATTAGCTTAAAGCTCAGGACTGTCTTGGTTCTTCATGAGTTGTTAAAAAACCCCTTTTTATCCAATAAGCCCTTCATCTGGAAGCCTTTGGAGTAACTAATCCTTCCCATTTTAACATAAGTTTTTTCAAGTTTATTTTTTCACTTCTCTGTAGATTAGTTTAGACAATACGTCACCTGTATCATAACAATGTGTCGGAGAAACATAAGAATGATTGCGCACAAATCAACCTGTGTCAGTTTATATGCCCGAGGTAAAGAAAGAAAGTACTCATGTTACAAGCGTGATTGTCAAAATGCGATAACAGGGAACAGTCATTCGCAAAAAATGGTATTTCAAGAATGACTTCGAGCCGTGCATAAAAAATGGTTAGCTTTTGTTAGTTGGCAAATTCACCGTCAGATTCGAAGAGCACAATTTACATCGACAAATTAATGACATGTGCGACAGGGATCAGTTAAACAAACTGAAGTACCGAGGAAAACTTTACATTTCATAATTTGTCGTAGACATAAAACCGTTCACGAAAAATAGGCGGTTAAAGTAGTCGCATTACATTTGCTGAAAAGCTAACTTGGGCTGACTGTTAATTAGTCAATGAAGAAAGGCAAGAACACATATTTTTCCTTTTTTTTTCATTGTAGTTTCAATCGCAATTTAGCTCGGTCTCTCTTATCTTTGAACATTTTCTTATCCTTACGCCAGCGAAATATTTTCTCCCAGGTAGTGTGTTCCATAAAGCAATTCTGCAAATTGGTACACAGCCATAGCGACAGAACATTGAAATTATAATTTATGCATTCTTTTAAATAACCGGCAACTCTTTCGTGCTTTCGAAAGTATTAAGTTTCTCGAGTTCTGATAAATCATTGGGATTAGTGTGTAAAAAATGGTATAAAAATCGAGTCACTTCTTTTTGCGCCTCGTTTGTAACTCTTCACATAGATATTCCGCCACAGGTACTTGCTTGATGTAGAGAAATTTGGCAAACTTTTTTTCAAAAATGCACGCCATGTTGAGCAAAGTAAAGCGGCAATCACTTTCCGTATGACGGGTCCTCGCAACGACCATGCAGCATTCAGCTCGTTGCAAAGAGTACAGCTAAGGGTTGTTTGCTAAATTAAGTAGACTAACTCGAATTTGGTGAAATCAGTTCCGTCAAGGTTCTGAAAAAATGAGTGTTTCGAACATGAAGCATGGTCTCTAGCTCCTTATTCAATGCCATAGCTTGTCGTATCATACACTTAAAATTACAAGGCCGATTGAATATTAAGATGAACGGATAAGGCTAACAGTTGAATTTGTTAGAGGCAAGCTTATGTGAACGTTATGTTTATAGCTAAGTTTAGGCCTGAGCATCACCATAGATGCACACATTGTGAAGGGTCTTATCAAACCCGCTGTAAAGTTAAGTATCATACGTATAATAAGCGCGACTAAATTTGCCCATAAGCCCGGATTATAACTTCATCATGAAAAAATTAAGTAGGAGTTATTTAATTATAAAAAAAAAACTATGAACAGTTTCAAGGAATCTGTATGAGCGTGGGTAGAAGTAAGCTAAATTGTTACAAGCTAGTTAGGTAATATAACCAGTTGAAAAGCGTTCTCTTTCTGTCGATTCTTTTGTTGAACACTAAGAGCTCTTTTGGTCATTTTCAGCGGGTAACGTTTTAACACTCGTCTTCGGAATGTGAAGATTGCCTGGCGCTATTCAAATAGGTATCTCTTGATGAACCACTAACTGGACGATCAGAGTCGTCTAATTCAAGATGCGAGCTTGACGTGCATCGTGATGTCGAACGAAAGGTGTTTCGAGTTGTAAAGTTACCTACTTCACCACTGGAATAATTTGGTTCAAATGGGCTCCTAGCATATTTTCTTAACAGATCAGGATTACAACCTCCCTCTTTGTTTGTGTCTTTTCTCTCCAGGACTCTCATACTTAACGTCTCGTCACTTCTTTGGTCGTGATCCTTAAAAATTTCATCACTCATAACCCAAGTATCACGACGAACAGGTTGAATATTTTGAGGCTCAGAGGGTGGAATTGAAGAGCTGAAAGATGGAAAAAGAAAAATTCAATTGCTTTGTCTTCATTTCTCTCCTTTTTTCTTTAGTGATAACAAACGCTGTAAAATGAAGAAAGTGCTACGGCTAATTTATGGTGAAAATTCGTTACGAGACTTAATATGTAGGATTGGCTGGATGAAAAACAGATTCATAAACATAGAAGCAAGAAACAAAAATACAAGCACGGATGACAAGATAATTAGACGCGACAAGAAGCAAGCGGCAAATTTAGTAGTAGGTGTACATATTCATATATCAACGTCCTTATACTCACTCAGCAGGCTTAACTGTTGATCTCTCGCAGTATCCTTTCTTTTTACAAATGTAAAGTCCAAACCCTCCAACAGCTATCAGCAAAACAAAGAAGACTGTAAATATTGCAATGAAAGCAGCATTTGATAACCTTTTAAAGTGTCTAGTTGCAGTATCCTGTGATTCAGCACGTTCCCTGTAAACTCGTAATGTAACAGTGATGTTCACTACTACAAGACCTTGCCATAATGTTTCATTAGCAGCTCTCAGTAATTCAAGGTAATCTGAATCTTTGTGCAGTGCATCATGTGGCACTTTAAGGTAAAACAGAGCAATGACACTTCCTTCCTCAAAGGACGTCACTTTCGCATCCACGGAAATTATGTCCTCGATTATAAACTCGACTTTATCAGCAAGGACTTTGAACATTGTGGAGTTTGGATTTGACAGATTTACATGAAAATCTCTATTCTTTATTACTAAAGACCCGTTCATAATTTCGAACTGATTTGAAGAATTCCAACTTGCAGTGGTAGTGGGCTTCACCGAGCTATGAGGATACTGATCCGTAATCTGATGTACCCATCTGAGGTGCGAAGTAGGAGTGTAGTTCACATTTGATGGAAATTTTGAGGTCACATGCGCTGTGGCATTTAGCGACTGCATCGAGACAGATATGTTCCAGGGTGTCTCGCTCGTTGACCTGCTTGTGACATTAATGCTAATTGTTGTGGACAGGTTAAGGGACAGTGCCGTTGAGTGCATTGAGGATAGACCTGTGCTGATAGTAGAATTTGTAACTTTCCAAATTGTCGCCTTGTTACTTGAATCTTTGCTAGGTGAGCTTGCAATTGTCTTAAGGGGTGGAAAGACATAAGCAGTCAGAGCTATGGTTCGAAATGAGCCAGTGCTGGACTTCCAGCTCTCGTGTTCAAATGTGGAGGTACGAACGTTAACTCTGAAATCCCAACTATTCTTTCCTTGCCAAGCTGCTCCTCTTGAAGTTTTCCTTAGAGTTGACCAAATCGACATTTCAGACGAAGACAGTGCGGTAATTAGAGAGTGTGCCGCTGTTGATGTTTTGGTCGTGGAGAATCTTGTTACAGGTGTGTTAGGCGTCCTGGACTGAGATTTTTCAAATGGTACATTCATTTTCAAGTGTCTATCAGAGGACATCATAGTTGAGAGTACAAGTTTACTTTCCTCTGCTCTTGAACTTGTCAAACTTTCATCTTTTTCACCAGTCGGTAGTGATCGTGAAAAATGCCAAATGTCTTTCGAAGATGTAACGGACGGATTGGAAGCTGAAACTGGCACGGCAGAGGTACTCGCACTTTTTAATCTGACTGGTTTGTCGCTAGTGCCCTTGGTCGAGGTCTGCATGGACACACTTAAAGTCGTACCTATAAAAAGGTTTGGCGTTGAACCACTCTCTGGGGAGTTTGCCTCTGAAGTCAGCGATATTGAGCGGACAGGGATGATTGAAAACCCAATGTTCCCGATATGTCTGGAATTCACGTCCATGGAAGCTGAAATACGTCCATGAGTTGACGAGAAGTTGAAGCTTTTTCTATCCACACTCCGAGATGAAACGTGGTTTATAATGGTTTTCTTAAAGACAACAGTGGAAGTAATGCCGTGGTGCATATTCATCGAAGACGAAGCGTAGGGTAAGACTGGTTTAACTGCCGCAAAATGAAAATAACTGGACAATGGTTGCGATGCTGAAAATCTACTGCTAGAGATTTTCGTCATCAGCGACAAAGTCAAAGTAGTGTCAAACAAGGTTTTGTTTCCGTGTGATGGGCTTGGCTGCAAAACACTGGGAAGTGCACCATTGCTTTTTAGAGACAAAATCTTTACAACCGTCGATCTTTCAGAATTATGGCCTGCATGTATATTGTGGCTTTTATCCCACGAGACAGAGTGAAAGCAAGATTCTGAGGTAGCCTGTAAAGAAAGCAAGTCACTTTCTCGGGGAAAAATTGTTGACGAAGGCCTTGAATTTTTCTTAATTTCTCGAGGTGATTTTGATACAGTGTGAATACCAATGAAACTTGAAGATGGAAACATTGTTTTCTGAATACTTCCTTTAAAAATCATTTGTGAAGATTGCTCCTGAAAAACAGAACCACTAGCCACGGGATGAATTGAAGTATACGATAGGAGTACATCAGTATCTTGAGACACTTCTGAAGAAATAGGCCCGTGCATCTTTGATGAAGTTTTATGGTGGTTAGAGTGCATTGTGTGAACAAGAGATGAGGAAGGGTTAGAGCTTGACAATGTAAAAGTTTCTCTTGTATCATTTGTCAGAGCTGTAGAGTTCCTTGAATAGGACGTCTGTAGTTGATTTAGAATGGTTATTGGTCGGTCTTCACCAGGAGAGTTTATGATACGAGAGCTGGTTGGATAAGAAAATACTTTGATTTTCGTGTTGGGTAACTCTAGAGTGGTTTCCAATAACATTCCACCTATAGCAACTTCTGTGGGGTTTCTCGATTCGCTAAAAGACTCAGGTGGATGAGAGGTGAGTCTTGAATGGATGGATGCTGATAACTCGCCTTTCTCAGTTGCTGGTTGAAAATCATTGGACGCAAATTTGGTATTAGAGACTGATTTGAAGGTTGCAATATCTGATGAATTTACAGTTTGAGACGAATACCAAGGAAAGGTAAACCTGGAATAGGACGATCGCTGCGATTCTTTAACCAAAGTTGAATTTCGTAGGGGTGAATATGGCGTAATTGATAAAGCCACACTGCCGGCCTTACGGCCAAAAGAGGAACTAGTTCTGATGTCAGGTAATGAAGACCGATTGACACCTACAGATGACCCAGTTGATGTAAGAAAGATTATCTTCGAGTTTGCCCAAGCAGATGGAATACTTTTTCTCGTGTTGTAATCTTTCCAAGAGCTTCCCTGTGTGACGAAAGGTGACGTTATGGTCTTTGCTCTGATGATCAATCTAACGGAGTCCTGTGACATAACGAAGTACGAAGATCTTTCTATTACAAATGCAAAGCTTGGTGTCAAAAAAGATGATGTATTCCACCGATTTGTTTCAGTGATCTTCTTCAGGCTTGATGAATCAGTGATGGTCGTTGGTGTAAGCATTCCGGTTATGGGACCTCTTGGCTTAGATCGTAAAATGCTTGATGCCTTAACCGAGGGCACTGAAGCCTGGGTCTTGCCGTACTCTGTATAAAAATTAAATTAAAAATTGAATTTTCAATTAATCATAAGATAATAATTTCATCGAGTAGTTAAATTTTCATTAAATTACTAGTGTTAGAAATGGACTTAAGCTCAGTATTTCCATGCCTATTGTGAAGAGTTTCAAAATTTATGATAATAGAGTTTTTTTAATTGAGTTTTGTGAATTATGTCGGAATCTAAAACTTCGTTATTGACCTCGTTCAGCCGGATTTTTGAGGACTGACGCTGCTTCATCAGACCGTTTTCAGTGTAAATTATTTCACACTAAAGCCTATGAAGTCTGCTCTCTTTTCGAGTGCAAAAGCATAGGGGTACAATTCATATCAAATTAGAGTGACCAAACCAAGCACTGCATGGTTTCAATTCGCCCGCCGTAAAAGTCGGCTCTCCGTGATAACTGAAGTCTGGTTAATTCTCAAAAATTTGCTTTTATTATTGAAACCGTTAGTTATATGTCCTACTTTAGAAGGCGTTAAAGCTATAAAGTGTCCATTAGTTACTAACGGCAGGTGGCCATCATTGATAGAACCACAAGAATGGAAATTTATCCGTTATCCAAATTAACCCATTTTGGAAGAGGAAAATTGTCACGTACCTTATTTAGTGAAAATTAAAAGGAAAACAAAACTTATACCTGGGACAGGCGCATTTCAAAACGAGGTTTACACCAATCTTGAAGTTCTGTATCGAGAATTCTTACCAATCGCTTATCAGCCCTTGTTCAATAAACACCTGCACGAAATGATGGCCATCCTATGCTGTTACTACATATTCTATCTATTCGAGGTTCTATATACATTTTATGTTGTTCCTTACTCTTCAATCTACACACGAATCGTGTACCAATTAAAATCGCTCGAAAAAGAGCTATAAAATAAGGTTTCAGGCGTCTTTAGATATTTCTAGAATATCAACTTTACTCATTGAGACAAAGAATATCCTTTTATTCGTTGTTTACACATTTTCAATGAACCTTTCTTGTCTTAGTACTAACCTTTGCTTTATTTTCTACATCGTAATATCTCTCCTTCAGTTTCAATTTTGGGCGCATAAAATAAGACTTCAATGGACAACTTGAGTGTATAAACCATACTGACCATGGGTGATACGCAATTGTAAAAAGTGGCAAAAAAGAGTCAAGGGTGAACTTACCAAGCGAAGGCTTTTTGGTGATAGAGGAGCTCAAAATTGTAGCTGAGTAGGATAAGAAATGCAACGTCATATTCTTTGTTACAAATTCAGGTTTGCTTCCTCTCACTGCTGCTCCACTGTAATAGTATGGTTCCTGGTTAGACAGTTCTCTTGTAACCAAATAAATTCCAGCTCCAGTAATCCCAAGAAGAAGAACGAAACCGAGTGCCAGAAGACCCTTTTTGCGCCTTTGTAGTAGCCTTTGTTCGTTTTCATTTGGCAGGTGATATTTTTTGGCGCTTTTTGACAAGCTGGCAATATAGGCATCTTCGAAATTCATTCCGCTGGGGAAAAAGTCCATGTTAGAGCTTGCGGTAGATATATCGTCTATAGTTTCCTCTATTATGGGAGAAAAGCGAACCGATTTTGCTTCAGCCATTTCAAAAAATTTTTCTTTGCTGGCTTCCAAACTGCTGTGAAGTGCTTGACACCTACTGTTCAGCTTCGGCATATGTTGTCTTGGTAACGAAAGTGTCACCTATCATAAAAGGTGATAAACATGCCTGAGGAGCTGTTTCCTCAATTGAATTGTGCAGGTGGCAAAGTAATTGGCGTCAAACAGGGGAAAGAAAGTTAATAGCGATAGACGTGAGCTTTAACGCATTGAAGTCTCTTACAACAAGCCTTTATTTTTTATCGTTGTTTAAGAAAGATATAAGTATTAAGGTATAATCAGAAAGTGATTTCATATTGCTTCAGAAAATTTATGTTAGTCTTTAAAAAAAATTATTCGTGCTTATTTATTCCAAATTGCACTCGAGATCATGTCATTACCTATACAAATGTGGTTTATCCACACGTCATATAGATAAAATATGAACGAATAGAGCAGCCTTCAATGACGAAACTGGATATTAGAGGTCATAACGAAACACCTTTTTTATTAGGACGCCTACCTTAATGCAAAGCTTAGGTAAGGCCCTTGGGCTCGCTAAATGCCTTCTGGTGTAAAGGGGATGTTCCTTGGAGGATACAATCCAATTCGAACACAGAATTTAATTTGAGCTGTGCCGAAAGCGATGTAAGTTTTTTTTTTAATTTCTTCCCTGGAAAACTAAAATAAAAAAGACCTAATAGCTATGATCCATGTGGCATGTTTGTTTGTCATCGTCTGGGCCACTTTTTGAATAGTTTTTAACTGAAATACTTATGAATCGGTTGACTGAAACAACGACAAAAAGGCAAAGTAAGAAAAAGACAGTCCTTTTAAATTTGAAAATAAACCCAGTGTGTGGTCATTTACACGAGGTCTATCTGTTACCACAGTTTTACGTAATCAGTGGGCCTCAAATTTTCTTTACAAGAGGGTTGATTTAATTAAATAAATGTCCTTCCACCACTAGCTTTCGGCAATCTTGACACTTTTTACAAAAATAAATGTTCAGATAAAAGTTTCAGCTAAGTTGAGGATAGTTTAGGACGCAGTTGTTAAAAAGTCAGACCAAAGCGTTTTTAGCGACCTATTGCATCCTACACCAAATGACACATAATTGATCGCGTAGTCTGATCGTTTGGGTTCATTGAGAGTAGTCCTGAAAAAGACTATTTTCGGTAGAAGTGACTGACTTTTTTAATGAATACCTGAGTTTAGGTCATAATCAGAGTGACCCTCGTAATGCCCTCCGTAACAGTTGTCGAAACGCGAGTCCTTACCATGCAGTACTACCGATAACTGTCCTCTGTATGACTACTCTCACCTAGATGATCCGACAACACGATCAACTTCTGGTCGGGTTCAAACCATTTACTAAAAAATTAATATGATTTAACTCTATTTTCTAATTCGAAAAAAGAAAGTGTTGTTGATTGGTCAAAGCTCACTAAAGCGAAGGCTGAAGCTTAAATGTTCTAGTGAGGTTACACTAGTTGTCTTCGCAGTCAGGCGATACTGAATCCTGTTCAAGAGATACAATATAAATTATTACCCATAAACATCCATTTAGACATTTCATTTCAGTCTTTTATTTGCTGTTACAAACAGTTACTTATACTGCCTCATAGAGGACACAAAGAGAGTAATGGTTTCTAGAAAGAATACAACAAGTTCCCTATCATTTATTGAGATGAGATTCTTTTTAGTGCCAAAAACACTGAAAGCCAAAAGCACTAAAGCCAAAAACACTGAATGCCAAAAACATTGAAAGCCAAAAAGCGTCCCTATTGTCTTATTACGAATGGCATCAACTCAGTTTCGACCTAACCATTGCTTTATCTGTTTAAACTTTAGATAGAACAAAAATGGTGTCTGGATGAGGATAAATTCGCTCAAATGGTCTCAGCGACAGAAAGCCATCTTTGTTGGCAGCAATGCAACTCTGACTCTGTGCAACCCTAAGAGCATAGGTTGGTCCTTGCTCACCCAATGACTCCTTAACGAAGGCTCCAATATGTTCTGAAGATTTTTCGTACTTCTGTGTGAAGGAAAGAACATTTTTAATTTTAAAAAAAATCATAGTTTTTTAGAGAAGTTTTTTTACAGAATGCTTTGAGGCTGAAGTGGAACACCTTAAATATGTAAAAGAACCACCTCAGTGAACTAAAAGTGCTATCTGGTTTGAACAGAAGTTTCTCTTTCACGGAAAAGTTTGTTTAATTTGGCAAGTTTCCGTAAAAGATCAATGCAGCTTCTCTACTCAGTTTTCTATTCTTAACCAATACAGAAATAGTTGTTTCTTCTTGATTTCTGTTTCAAAAAAAGGCCCCTGTACAAAGTTACGAAAAATGCAAAACGATAGAGGATACGAAAGTTTGCAAATTCGTTTTATCAAAATCATTACCAAGCTTCGAAACTTTATGTTTTGTACCAAATTCGATATTTATCTTATTTTCATAAACACTACAAGATTATCTTCATTAGACTTGCGATCTGAACTTAATACAGTGCATTGAAATTCAAAGTATCTTCGTAAGTGTACTTGAAGCGGCGCCCTTTTTGTAACTAGTTTAATTTCTTTCAGGCCCGCACACGCACTTAACCGATCTCTCACACTAATGAGTCGCTTTTAATGAAATCGGAGTTAGATAAACATTCGTTAATTTCACCTTGGTTTCCTTTAAAGTTACATGTGTTTATACTGACCGTAAACGAAACAGTTCCATTTTTTAAGTCGGTAATCAAAGCATAATTCTGACCGTCCTGTGCTGTAAACACTAAGTGGGCGGAATTTTCGTTAAAAGTTTCGATTGCGGTATTCAGTACCATTGTGAATTGACCTGAAAAAAAAAATTCAGTTCTAAAACCTGTGTCATCTATGAGATAATTTAGTTCGAACACATTTATTGGCCTAGCCGCTGTGTTGTAAGAGTTTTTACCATGGCTAAGCCGGTGAACATCACCGCCACTCTTTCAGAAAGGTCGGACCGCCTGCAAAGTATTTCAAAGTTTATCAATTTGTAACCAATTAAAACCAATACGAAATTAAGGAACAGTTACACCTACTTTCTTTTCCTTCATCATCGCCTGTTGCTCTGATTTTAGGAGTCTTCTTTCCACCATCTTCAGTTAAGACCAAGTATTTTTGTCGACTCAAAGACCAAGCACGAAATGTCAACCCATTATTCATGTTTTCGGTTATCTTTCTTGATGCGTAAGGCTGAGTCTACTTTGAAAGATTCTCCCCCAGAAAGAAAGCTGAAAGTAAAAACCAATAAAAAAGTAATCACCATCGAATAAAAGGAAATTAAACACCGTAGATTGGAGTGTTTTCGTCGTTAGTGCAGAGGAGTCAATCTGGTTCGCTGCCAAATCCTGAGGATGCTTTCACTAAACGAAGGCAGAAAATCAAGACTGCTAAATAACTGAATGCCCGAGAAATTTACGCTAGTTAGCATCAAAAGTTGAGCTCGCATCGTGATCTCTGGCATTGCACTTACTTGATTAATTGTTTCGTTTATAACACAAGAATATTGAAACGATGAGGATTATAGCTGTAGTTTTCCTCTTGTTATTGCATTGTGTAACTTAACATGTTCCATTTAAGCGCGTTAAGTAATCAATGAACATTGACAACATAAAAAAAAAACCTTTCCACTAAATCTACACGCACAGCAAGGAATCATAAATACCTTTAGGATGGCAGGAACTCTTGTTCTGACTAGCAGGTAATTTGAAATGAAAGTCCCTTTTACTACTCACAGGCTTTTATATACGATGGACCGGAAGATTTAAAGTAAAAAATAGCTCGCATTTGACTTAACACTACATTTTTTGCTTGTAAAAAACGTCCACGACGTTTCAGTTTAATTACATCCGGGTCGCAACTCAACTCGAAAGACTTCCGCTTTGTCCATATAACCGTTGATATTGCAGATTTTCAATGTTTGTTTTGTTTTAAGTTTTTTTGTCGTCACGTCTTAGAATGGTTTAATGGCAGCTTTCTTTCAATCAAATGATTAGATCACACATTCGATCTGACACATTGTGGTAATTTGGTCCATAGTGTAACTGATATGAATAATTATGATATCTGCATTATTTTTTGATATTCATACAATTCAGGTGGACTGACCTTGGACGTAATTTAGGACAGTACTTTCAGTTTCCTAGCTACTATCTACGTTCACAAGAGCATATGACCGACAGGTATTTCGTATTTCCATGGCTTTTTTTAGTCTTGTTTAGTCTTATATTCTTTTTTCGAAGCACGACTTTGTTATTATTTTAACCATACACTGAAACAATTGGACGAGTGTCCCCTCCCCTCCTATACATTTATAACTTTCTAATCGTTATAGTTTCGAAACTAGATGCGAGATAGAATGGCTCTTTTGCATCTACGTAAATCGTCATCAATGATCATCTACGTGTACATTGAAAGGTTAACAAATGAAACTATACTGTGCGTACCTTGATGGAGGACTTCTTTTTTACCGATGCAAATGTCCACTTTGTCAGTTTTTCAGAACTTTCGTGTCTTAGAAAACTTACATATTATCGATTTTCGAAAGTAATACGAACTGGTGACCTTGAAACCGCGATATCATTGAAAACTGAAAGGTGTACATCATACACATATAAATGGGAAAAAAAAACAAAACTAAGAAGCGCAGTTAATTAAGAAAATAAACCACACTCTGGAATTGTAACATTTTGGTGCAAAGGAAAGATAAGCCATAAAACTGCTAGTTAATTAGTCTTGCTGAAAGAAAATTAAATATACAGATAAAATGCTCCTTATACAAATCTCACACAAACAATTATACATGTATACAGAACGTGGCAGAGAATATCAGAAAGAACAAGACAGTACACTTGAATTGCTTTTAAATACAATTTTCTATTTGAAGAAAACGACAAAACGTTTGAGTTTGTAAAACACGTTTCCACAGAAACTTCTGTCATCTTCAGTTAATTAATGTACAAAGCGTCGGAAGTTGAATTTAGAATAAGTAGAAAAAAGCTAATACGACAAATGGTGACAACGAGAAAAAGGCAAAGCATGAAAGTGTCAGAATTAAAAGGATAGTTTTAGATTTACATTATGTAATTGTTGATTCAAAGAGGGTTGTTCTCTTTGAATAAGATTCGCCATTTTATTAAGCGCTATTGCAATGACTTGGCAATGACAAGCTAGTTTTCTCTTCTTTCAAGATTGGTAACTTGTTTGGAGTGAAAGATCCTGTCCCTGACGGGCTCCGTTCACATGTGGTTTATAAGTTTGTATGTGCTGGCTGTAAAAATAATTTCTATGCGAGCCTGGTTGGGCCGAACGGGAGAGTATTTTTGCTCTCGATAATGATGTTCGCAGTCGATGAGTGCATATCATCTGGCGTAGGAAACGGAAATGTCAAAGAGATAATAAACAAAATGGATACAAAACCTTAAATGCATAGGGCAAATAAGAAAAGTGACTAAGTAAGCTTTGTAATCACCATTTTTACGTAAGTCCTAGTTTCTGCGAATTGATGGATCTGGTTATATGAGCAAAGTTTCAGTTTTTACCTGAAAGCCTCCAAGCACATATCACAACCTTGTCATTGTGATTCATTACAAATGCATCACATTGATGTTGATTGACGTAGAAAATGAAAGACGTCACTGTTTATTTTGTCGGGAAAGTCAGTTAAAGAGAAAGATTTGTCACGTGCAAACTATATTTCTGAACTTTAATTCTCGCAATTCAACGAATCAGGAGGTTGTACATGGACCTCGGTTTGTCAGTTCTCGTTAATTCACACGCCAGAACTTTTGAGTTTCCTATTGGTGCTACCCCGTTTCACTTTAACGGCCAAGTTAAACTTTCCTTTAATCCTATGTTGTGTATCGAGTAATAAATATTTTTGGAAAGAACGTTACGTCAAGAATTTACTAATATGGAGAAGAGATATCCTATAAAAGGTATACCTGTCGGATTGATAAGTATACCAAATCGGTCAAACTTAAACTTTTGGGGTCTGTGTTCTCTATTATCTTCCTCGTTACAGATATGAAGGTTGCCTATGCATCGTACTCCGTCATTGTTACAGTTGCTATCATTGCATCCCTTGGCAGGCCTATCTGGTGCCAGACTTGTGGTACAGAGGCTTATGGAGGTAAGAAAAAATATCCCCCTTTTTTTTAATGAATCGGTATTTTTCCTTTTAAATGTTGAGATATACTTGGCAAGTAAGACTTATAGGCTCTGACTAGTCGTACATGCCACGCCATGGAGTACAAAAAAAGGAATAGAAAAAGGGTCGCAAAGCTATCAAATTGGACTCGTCTTTTTAAAAGATAGCATAGCTTTGTTAAAAACGTCCTTCTTAGTTTTGTTGTTTCTTAGGAGAGCCCTTTCTTTATCATTGACCCATCGTCTACTTCTGGTCAGAAGCAGAGAAAGGAGCCTAAATTGCTGCTTTACCAAGCCGGGTGTGCAACAGGCTGTTAAAGTACAAATACAATTGGTTAATATTGAGGAAAACTCAAATTGGAAGAAAATCAGTTAAGGAAGCTCAGCATAACACTAGTAAATTAAGATCAAAAGTAACACAGGTTACAATGTTATATGCCAATCGATTTTTAAACTCCCTCATTCGAAATAATTTTAAAACACATAAGTTACTAGATTTTGCTAGAGCTGAGAGCACATAGTGAAACGCTTTGGGCGTTCAAGTGCTCATTGTAAAATATCCTATAACTGCTTGCCTCATAGGATTTTGACAGTGTTTTAAAAATCTCGCAATGTTGTGCTGTAGGTTCACCATCTGTGGACTTTTATGTAACAACGCCTGACAAATCGCCTCATACATCTGAAATGAAACACTTGGACAAAGCAGTCACCGTACAGCTCGGCTCGAATGTAACATTGGTATGCACTGCAAAAATGCCGTTGGGATTCCCACCATATCTTCGCTCCTATTTGGAGCCTAATCTGATCAAGTTGTTCGTAAACTACTCCTTCATTCGCGAATTCAACTGTGATAAAAAGCCTCGCAAGGTCAAAACGTGCTCTTTGTCGCTCGTGAATGTGAAACCAGGAGACAAAGGCAAGTACTTCTGCCAGGCAGTCAATGAACTGGGATGTACTTACAAACAGCTGAAAGTCGCCATCACTGGTGGTAGGTAACTCAATGTTTAGTCATCTTTCCCTTCTATAGAAAGTCTGTCTTTTGTCTTTTCAGTGTGACACATCCTATACTTTCCCACATGAAAAGTGTAGGCTGCAATCTTTAGCAAGAATATGATCATATTTTTAAACTTGTGTAGGATCGCACGTAAAACGTAATAAACATAAATAAGAATGACACTAGAGACAAAACTATCCAAAAAGAAAATAAATAAATATGAAAAGTTGACCAAAAACGCCATTGATTTTTGAGTTTTTTTTTAGCAGTTCGTTAATACCCCCAAGTGACGCCAGGCACCAACTTGACGCAGCCCAGTTATATGCCCATTTTCTTTAGATATTTTATTACCCCTTTTCTTAGACAAAAGTAGGGAAAATTGATTTAGGTGTTCATTGTTATCATATGTTCTGTGCCATCGACAGGTGAACAAGAAGGGCAGGAGCCTGGAATTCGCCAAGGCCGGAAAACCATTCTGAGCAAATTCAAGCGAAGTTTGGCATGAAACGTTTTTGTTCCACCTGTGTATTTTAAACTCTCATTGTAAAAGGAATATAGGAAATCTTCTTGTAAAGAAATGCTAGTTTTCCCAGGATTTTTGCCTTTTTATCTAGTATCACACTCCTTTTCAAAGAATTACCTTGGCGCACGAAAACGAATGTTTCGTTTTCGTGCGCTAACAAATTATCTCTCGCCATTTGACTCTTTGCAGATTGTTATGAGTCACTATTTTTTAAATAAGTAGCAGCTGCCAGCTTTCCAAGAATAAACAGAATAAAGGAAAAATCAACCGTAATTTATGAGCCTTAACCTAGACCTTATTTGGAGAAATTGACAATGTCTCGATCATCGTCTTTAATAAGTAAACATTTTACGAAAACTTCGGTTCAGTAAGAGTTTCCTTTCAAGGGCCACTAAATATTGCTTACCTAGGTGTAAAAACTGTGATTTAACCAAGGAGTGAACTGATTAAAATATTTCATTACAAGTTACACACCATGTCATCATGTGCATTTCCCTGGTTTACATTGGCACCTGTCTTTTCTCAAGATTCTCCACATTTGCGCAACTACGTAATTTTTCACCGAAAGTGAACGGATCAACTTGAATTTTATTAGCTGATGTTTTATACGATTTACAACTAATTAAAGCTTGGTGATTACTTACTCTGCGAAAATGCAATGATACACGAGTTGTCAATTGCTATAGAAAAGTAACTCAGCACTGCACCAAAGAAAAGTGAAAAGTTTATTAACAGGAGAAATAAAAGATAAAAAATATTCCGATTTCTCTGATTTTACCTATCCAATTTTGAATCAGTTTACAGTCTTGAATTTTCTCTCTATTGTTATAATAGTTTTAGCCTAAATTTCCAACTCTCTGTCTATAACGTAATTTTTACAACTATAGTTTTACATATGTAAGACTTTAAAACGTTTTTTAGCGAAAGAAATTTCAGAGAAGTTATTTTAACAGACTTAAATTAAATAAAATAATTTGGTGAAAATTATTTATATACTTTTTATTTTCTCTAAAGGTTTTAATGTTTCCTCTTGTGTGTATCTCTCCACACGGTAAATGTATAACACGTACATTTGGTGGTAACTTGATGGGTATGTTCTATATGCAGTTTTGTATGAATACAACGTCTTCTCTGTCACGAATTTCTATACTTCTTCTTGGTTACCGGAGTCATCACTCTGAAGGTTAGCATACTCACTCTGAAACGGAAAAAGATGAACAAATCAACTAAAAAAGGGCGAGGTAGAACAAAGTTGAACATATAGTTTGTTGTCCATTCACTAGTTAGCCGTTCAACCGAAGAGACTGTCAATGAGTACAATTACTGCGGTAAACAGAGACAACCCAAAGAGGAAAATCGTTCTGTACAAGCAAATAAAATGAAAATGAGGAAAGTTTCATTCTGGACGTGAATACATACCTTGTATTCTAAGCTTAAGATCTTTTCCAGTTGTTCTACAATACATGCAAACGTGGGCCTCTTTAATGGATTTTCTTGCCAACAGGACTTCATCAACTTATACCTACAAATACAACTAGAGATTAGTCAAATACTAATCTGTCTGTTAACAACATTTCTGGAAATTGACTGCTTGAAAATGACCAAGGTCGAGAAGACGCTACAGATAGTTCTCTAACCCACCGTTGATTGGAACAATTTAGAGGACAAGGCATCCGGTTACCAGACGATAGCCACGTAATGAGGGTCTCTATTGCACGTATATCAGGGTAGGGAACCTCACCTGATAGGATAATATGTAAGTGTTAAAGTCAAGAAATGGTTGCATTCGTTTCCTTGTGCAAAGTTGTCTTTTTGTTTTGTTCTTTTTTTTTTTCAGAACTAAGAGCCTTAAAATGGAACGAGGCCGATACTCATAAACAACCATCTAAACAACGCACGTTTCCTACTGTATGGCCAAAATCTTACATCAAAGAATTTTTCTCGAGCTGGAACAAAGCGAGCAATTTGAAAGGCATATCTAAGAACATTCTTGCACAACAATGAAATACACAGTCTCGCCATATTATCTATTCGATGGGAGTGACATTAATTTTTTAATTTTTTTGACGACATGCATAAAAATAATTTCAGTTTGATTTCAAAGGAACAATTGGTATGTAATATCTTCTAAAAATTGTTTACACAAACTTACCATAAGTAAAAATTTCCCACAACAAAATCCCAAACGACCATCTATCATTAAGAAAAAATTGTATAATTGAGTTATTTTACCTATTAAAATAATTGCGACTCTAATTAACTACAAAAGAATTCTACGAGAGTCCACCATCAATTGCGGCGAACAGTTCCATAAAGCTAACCTGACGCAGTTTGTCCCATAATTCAAACACTACGTTTTTAGTTATTACTTTGTATTTCACATGGGAGGAACTGTTCATTCTGAGAAGACGCTTATTTAAATGGTCTCAACCCCCCCCCCCCCCCAAAAAAAAAGGGGTATAAACAACAATAAAAACAAAACTGTACGATAGAAAGCTTGTCCAAAAGGTTTTGATAGCAGCTCTGTTAATTAGTAATCATTTTCCCAATTAGCTTGTCTTCAAACTGAAACAGGGCTAGCGCGAATGCACCATTTCGTGAATTTGGATAATGTAAGTAATGTAATGTTGTCTCGCAATGATATAAAGTTACATGTAGATTCGATTATATTGGATAAAAAAAACAAACAAACAAAGAAAGGAGAGTGATCGACCAGACTT